TACTATGCGCCAAGCTCTATTTGCTCTGGAAATGCAGCAGGGAACAATTCTAAGTCCCTGCTTTCATAAAATGTGCATCCTGGTGAAGAAAACAAACAGGATGTTTGGCCTCTCAGAGAGCGTGGGGAAACTGTAGGTCTCAGCCAGGACAATGTTGCCCCCCAGGACACATTTTTGGTTGTCAAAATTGGGTGGGAGGATGCTGCCATCATCTGGTGGGGAGGGGCCAGAGATGCTGTTCAATATGTAATGCACAGGACAGACCCCACCGCAAAGAATCGCCTGGCCCTAAATGTCACTAATGCCGACGCTGAGGACACCTGGGCCAGAGGAGACAGAGGGGTCAGGAAAGGCCCCTGGAGAGGGACATGTAAGCAGAGATCCAAGTAAAGTGAAGGACGTCTGTGGCACAGGGGACAGGCACAGATGCCAGGGGAGGCGCACATGGGCCATCCACCTGGGAGAACTAGGGGTTTCGATCTCAGTGCACTGGAACCTGGGGTTCCCAGCTGGATGTGGGATGCTCTCAGTCACCCTTCCCAAGGGCCCCTCTGGCCGCTGTGTGGAGAACAGCCCGTGGGAAGCAAAGGGGATCGGGGGGCCGGGTGGGATGCTGCTGGCATCACCTAGAGAGTTGTGGGGACTTGAACAAGAGCAGGAGAGGTGGGGTGGCCAGAAGTGATCCGGTTCAGACTGCACCGTAAAGGCAAGCCTTTGGGATTTGCTAATGGATTAGATGGGGGTGTGGGACACAGACAGGAATCCAGAAAGAAGCTTGGTTCCTGCTCCAAGTGCTTCCCTAAAAAATGTTGACTCCTAGCTCTCCCCCTCCCCTTACCCCAGTGGTTCTCAACTAGGGGTGACTGTCCCCCCAGGGGACACTCGGCAGTGTCAGGAGACATTTTTGTCACAACTGGGGGAGGGTGGTGATCTTGTGGGCAAAGGCCAGGGATGCCGCTCAACATCCTGCAGTGCACAGGACAGCCCCTGACCCCTGCCGCGAAGAATCACCTGGCCCCAAATCTCAACAGAGGCTGAGGAATCCAGGCCTACCCCCGCCCCCGCTGCCTCCTCTCACCCAGGGCCTGGCCTGCCAGTCTAGCGGGGACTTCATCAGAGCCTGGAGATTCCAAATCGGTGCACGTCGGTGGCTAAGGTCCATATTCACTACATCTCACTCTCTTCTGCCAGTGACACAGATCAGATGCTGCTGCTGTTGCCGCTGCCACCACATGAAACAAGAAGGTTGGAGAGCAAATTCATTATCCAGCTGTTAAGAGCGACAGAGCATGCACACCTCTCTCCCTGGCGGGGCTACCTGAGAGCCAGCCCTGCAGGATGATGGAGTGGCTGCCAGCCGCCTCTTCTCTGTAACCTTGACACACCAGGGCAAGGCCTCCAGTACATAAGCTAAAATCCAAAAGGCAACGTCGGCGGCAACAAATGGATGGGTTAATTTGTTTCGTGTCCCCGCTGCCACCAGGCTCTTGCAGAAAAAACAACCTCCACTTGCGGGGCTTAATATCCAAGCTGCTAGGAATCAGATTGGACAGAAGGAAGAAATGTGACGTCAATTGCCGAGATGCGTTTATATTGTTATGTTTGCTTAAAAACCGGTTTTTGATCTGCAAGTTACTCTTGCTGGCTTGGACCTCGAGCAACAAAATATCACACTTCCAGGTGGTATCTTTAAGGAAAGCTAATTAGGATTCTTGGCACTTGTAGCACGAAACATTTTACAATTTTCTTCAAAGCAATTTGCCAACATTAGCTAATTAAAACACCCAGCCTTCCGTTGAGGGACAATGAGAAGAGAGCGGAATTTTCATTTCTCAGCATCTGCTGCAGGGTTGAAACTCCAGATTCCTGTTGCTTCCACTTGGTCACGGTCCTTCTCTGAAGGTGGCCTTTCATTGTTTTCTGCAACCTTCCCAGGACCATTGAGAACATTCCAGTTTTTCCAGTACTTAGTCTCTTAAAAAAGAGGCCACACTAACAAAAGAGTCTGAGCAGTTAAGGCTGGTCCACTAAACCAGAGGTCGACAAACGACAACCCACAGCTGAATCGGGGCCTCGACCTGTGTAAATAAAGTTTTACTGTAACACAGCCATGCCCCTTTATGAACATATTGTCTGTGGCTGCTCCCAAGCTACAACAGAGTTAAGCAGTTGCAACTATTAATCTGCCTCCTGTCTCCATACATTTGCCTATTCTGGACATTTCATCTGAGTGGAATTATAGAGCATGTGGCCCTTTGTGTCTGGCTTGTTTCACTGAGCATCATGTTTTCAGGGACATCCATGTTGTAACCATATATTAGTACTTCATTCCTTTTTATGGACAGATCATATCCCATTGTGTGGATGGGCCACATCCATTCATCTGTTGATGGACATTTGGGTCATTTCCACTTTTGGGCTGTTGTGAATGGCGCTGCTGTAAACATTCATGTACATTTTTCTGCTTATTATTTTAAAATCACACTTTGACTCCTTTTAAAGACTAAAAGAAAAGTTATAAAGACATGTTCTCTCACTGCACAACATTACAAATATTTAGGACAGGAAAAGCATCTGAGTGTGGTACAAAGGAAAGTGGGTCAGGAGTCAGCACACAAGGTACTTATTTTTTATTCATTCAATAAATACTTTATTTCTTGTTTTAAAATTGATTTTAGGGAGGAGAGGGGAGAGAGAAACATTGATTTGTTGTTCCACTTATTCATGAACTCATTGGTTGTATGTGCCCTGACCAGGAATCGAACCCACAACCTTGGCGTATCAGGATGGCATTCTAATCAGCCGAGCTACTCGGCCAGGGCTAGTCAATAAATACTAAAATAGAGTGTAAGACATTAGGTACCAATGATGTCACACCCTGACTGTTCTGTCATTCATTAAAAAAATATAAAGTTGGTGTCCATGCTGTTCTGGAGAACAAAGGTCAGTCACCTATCTTTCCAGGGCCGCACGCTCCTCATCACAACACATGTACCTGGGAGGGCCAGGAGAAGCAGGTGTAATGGTACAGCTGAGAGTTCCGGTATCAGAGGCCCCACAATTATAACGTTACCAATATGATACATGAAACGCGTTGTATCTATTTTCCTTTCCTCCCCGTGATGAAATTTTTCACATACAGGACCTGCCCGTGGAACATGGACGACACAAGTTTCCTCGCCTTGTAGAAGACAGATTCAGTTTTAGTAAGTAGTTTAATATCTCAACCCTGGCTCCATAGGGGGAAAGACTTTTCGAAGCAACAAAAGTAGGCCACAGTGGAAAGAATTAGTGGGTGCTTGACCATCTGTCATGATAAGTGAAAAAAGGAAAGAACATCTTCAGAATCAAGCTCCTTTGGACATGGCATTGCGCTTTCCCATCATTGCCAGCAGATGGCGACGTGGTCCTGCGAGGTTGCGTTAGTGCAAACCCTTGGTGCAGTAAGGTCAGAGGGCACCTGGAGCTGTGCTACTGGGACACTTGTGCACCTTGTCACTTGTGCTCAGAGGTGTGAGCACTTTTAAACACACCCATGGGGGAGAAAAAGAGGCATCCACATGATGTGTTTCTAAAGGCTACAGGGATCTGACAAAATTTGCCAATGGCCTGTGATCTAATTCCAGATGTTCCCAGAGTAAAGCTATCAGTGGTGGTAGGACCTACCCTTCTTTCCATCTGGGTGAGTGGGAGGCAGATGGAAGGGGTGGCCATGGACACTGGGGTAAGTCTTGGGGGTTTGACGGCACCAACACCTGACAAAAGGCTACTTCCCTGAGTCCCTGTGCACAAACTCGACAGGCCCCGGAAGGGTCCTGATTTGTCAGTGAGAAGGTGGCCCATCTGTAGACCAGCTTCCTTGTTTTAGGGAGAGGGAGTTCATGCAGGCAGGGGTCCCACAATCTCTTGACGAGGACTATGCTGAGGACGGAAAACCTATGGAATTGGTGCCACCAAGTGGCACAGGAAGCAATTGTTGATCCGGTGCCACCAGCACCTCCTCCTCGCCATCTCGCCAGCCTCTTCCCTGTCTCCCCTTCAAACAGTGCCCACGAGCATCACTTAACTAGGCAGCCGTCCCTGCAGGTCTGAAAGGCTGCAGGGAGGAGACGGGGCTGTAAGAATCACATTTGACTCCACTCTGTAGCTCCTCCCAAGCTAAATCAGGTCAATGAGCTTATTTGTGTCAAATAAATGAGCTCAACTGACTGCTAAGCTGCTGCAAGACTATTACTTATCTCGGGCCTCCACATTGGCACTCAGCAGGCTGCAGGCGAAGCTCAGGAAGGGTACGGATGTCAGGGACCGAGCTCCAGGAGCACGCCCTGAACTACTGCCCAGGTGAAAACCTCCCAGGAGAAACTGAGTCTAGCCCGTGAGGGCAACTCCAGGTCTCTGAGCCTCTGGAGAGAGTACACACAGCAGTTTCCAAAAAGTGCCCACCGGTGGGGCCCACGGAGCACTTGGGAACATCTTTCAAAGCCTCAAAAACTACCACAGGGACTGGACACTTGACAGAGATGATCTGGTTTGCAGGAAACCTGGGCTGCCTTGAGCTCAGAACATCCTTTCCCTGCACCAGCCATCCAGCAAGATGGAACCACGTGTCCTTACCAACCTTTTAATGTACTTTTTAAAAAATTTCTGCATTTAGTGGTTCACTAACGTGAATGGCATGCAAATAACTCTGGCAGAGGAGGAACGCCTGTAATTTATTTGTGAAGAAAAATACTTATTTTCCCACTGGGTAAAAATTACAAGGAAAGAGGTACAGAAATGCAAAGCCAAGATTGCGTGCAATTAGGAGAGGGCTTTCCCCTCTAACCTGACTTTATTTTAGAGGCCGGATGCCGTAAGTATGCACGCTTTCCTGCTTTGTCAACTAATTAGCTATAACTGGGTTAAATCAATCTAACAGGAACTGTTGATTTTTAAATACCATACAGCAGGATTCTACCTTGATTTACGTACTAACACAAAATACAGATTGATATACAAAATACAGGCAAAACTTTACATCAAAACTTTAATTAGTGGTTATCTGTGGGGTATAGGAATCAATTTGGCACAATTTAATTTCTTTGTAATTTCACACATTTTTAAAATGTAATTGCTACATTTTAAGATTTCTGACCTGCAATCACAGGAGAAATGAGAAGATGACCTTTTACAGCAATGACTGCAGAAGCCCTTATTAGGAATTCCACGGCGCTCCGGGTATCTCAGGTTAAGCACACCTAAATAATTTAGCACTGGATTAAGGTGCAGCTACCGAGTACAGTCCTGTGCTTCCCTGCCAAATGCAGCTGTTTTTATGATGGAAAACACAGCAGCTGTTTGCACAGGTGCAGAGCGGCAATACATGATAAGTTGGTCCCAGCAGAGAAGAATATGGTGTCTATTTAAAATTTGAGGAGGAAGAGGCAGAAAATGGCTCGCCCCAGTTGTAATCTTCAAGAGAGGGGGAAGCTCTGGTTTGAGGGAAATGGGCTCCAGATGGCTGGTCTCCACACACCCTGTGAGAGCCAAAGCCAAGGACCAGCTGCTGGGAGACACGAGCTCTGTCACAAAACACGTGGTGGGCTCTTTGGTCACAAAAATCAGAATTTTGGCTCTGCAAGAAATCAATTTCACTGATAATGGTGATTTCTCATTTAGCCAATACTACAATTCTGTGATAATCTGAATGCAAGCTGACCAGAGCCAGCCTACTCTACATAAAAAATTTATGAATGAAAAAGGTCCAAAGACTGCAAAAAATATTCACCCTATCAAAAACCTCTGAAAGCACCCACTTACAAACAATGCATTTCTAGCAGTGATGTGTTCTGGTCCCTTGGGGCCCCAAGTCGTGCAGTCAGTCCTAAGAAAAAATAGAACTGGACTCCTGTTCAAATATCTAAATGAACTGCTTCACCCATCGGTTGTAACTGGCCACATTGTTTTATTATGATATTAAAGGCTGTACTTTCATCGTACAAAGTCCAGCCATCCTGCTTTAACAAAGACCTGAATCAAGGTGTATACACACAGGTAAGTGATGAGGTTCCACTCTCCTGTTCTTCATGTGGACGCAGACTGGACAAGGAACGTCGCAGACACGTGACTGAGAGAAAACAGGGACCCAAAACTGTACTCACACCACGGACAAACTGCAAGAAAAAGGCCCACAGGAAAAGGCCTGGGAGACAATGCGGTGACATGCTAGTTGGAAAAGTGTGTAGAAAGAACTCTCCTAACACCACTGGCTTTTAAAAATAATTACTATTTACTATGTGGTACCTTTTTATAGAATGACTAGTTTTCCAAGTGGAATCTGCAGTGGCATTTCCCATCCTCCCTCCCCCCACCACTCAAGTCCCTCCGTGAAAAGAGCTGCTGTGGCAGTCCTGGGGAAAGCAATTCGGTTGCAGAGGGGAGGGGGAGGGCGCTGCATATAAACCTCCAGGTCACTGCAGAGGGGAGGGTGCCGGCACCTGGGTCGTGTCAGTGTGCGAAGGACACCATAGCAGAGTAATAATGTTGTTCCTGGAGGCAGCACTGGGCTGCGAGAGACCTGCGAGGAAGTAGCAGGTCCTGTGGGATTTCAGGATAATTTAATCAGCAGCACTTCAGCTCCGCAGAAAGCAAGGGCAGGGACATAATAAAGTCAGCCTGCAGCTCCTGCAGCTCTTCTGTTCAACCTAAGGGGGAAACACGACCTGGGAGAAGGGCCTCTGGCTGACATTTGGAACCGGGTAATGCTGTGTCCTGGGAGCTGTCCTGGGCCCTGGCAGGGTGTTCAGGCAGCATCCCTGGCCTCCATCTACTCGACGTACCACATCCCCACCATTATGACAAAAATGTCTCCAGACAAAACTGGCCCTGTTCGCTGCCCTCCATCAGCTGGAAAAGTTAGTTAACACAGGAGCTACTTGCTTCTGTATACACAGTAGGTAGGTGTAGCACAGGGCTGAGGAAGGAAAGGAAAGGGGCTTAGGCTTCTCTCATGCAAAAATGCTGTGAGGGTCACCAAGAGGCACTTCATGTCTGAACAATAAACGGCCAACCAAAACATGGGAAAGGGCTCACCTCACTAGAAATTAAATACAAATTAGGACACTGAGATCCATCAGTAAAGAGTTAAAAATGGTAACAGGGTTCTCAAGAGTATGGCAAAAGAGACTCCCATGTAGTACAGGTGAGAGTAAAAATTGGTGAGAAGTTATCAAATATAAAAATGTGTCTGTAAAAGCATATTATCAACACATTACTGGTAATAGCAAAAAAGGTAGTAAGCTAAACGTGCTCAGCAGGGGATTAATAACATTATTGTATATCCATGAAATTGACACCATGTATTAAACATTATATGGGCCTATTTGTAACTTACAAGGATGTCCATTATAGGACCGTTTTCAAGAGGAAAAAGTGCTCTCACTTCTGCTTACAAAGTCATGAGGGAAAACAACGGACTTATCTCTAGGATATGTGATTTTAGATTATTACTTCATCTCTACATATTTCTTAATCTGAAATTTTTTATCTTTACCATGAATTCTTTTAAAAATAGTAATAAAATTACTGTGAGGATACAAAACGGGCAGCATCTCTGTATATGTACAATTTATCTATAAATCTGGATGGAAAAAGGATATGATGTGACCCTTCCTGAGTTCCTTTGCAGCTACACCAACCAAGATATAGCCCCAAGGCCCCCCACATTGGTTCTTAGGAGCAGCAGTCTGATATCACATTCACTGCTCTAAAACCATCCTCTGCTTCCCAAGAGCTGTCAAGCTCTCCTTCAATGCCAGCTCCAGCAAAGCCACCCAGAGTCCCTGGTCCCGTGGAGGCAGGTCATTCTCTCCTTTGTTCATGCCCATCTCAGCGCCCTTTCCCCACTTTACTGGTTGTTCCTCTCCCAGTTGACATATTTCATCTTTACTGCCTCAGCAGGAAGCACAGTGATTAAGATTCAGAATTGGGGGAAAAGCTTTGAATTACCCAACTACGTTTAGCTTCAAACACTCAATATTTAATAATCTTTTTCTAAATTAAAGGTGTTATGTCCCTTCTTTGATCCTTTCCTAAAATTCCAGCGTGTATCATGCACTTTGCTAGGTTCTGGGCATACAAAACCAAGACAAGGTCTCTAATTCTAGAAACCCTCAGTCAGGGCAACCAGAAACAAACCAGGGTTTGGAGAGCAGGGAGAGGTCCTGGGTTGGAAGGCTGGGGATGCCAGTCCAGGTTCTTGGGTGATTTCATTATGTCCTCTGCAGCATCGGGAGTTTCCAAAACAGTGAACATGCCCCTAACTGACTTAAGTACAAAAAACATATTTCAGGGCCAAATGAAAATGACCTTTGGCTTATCGACCCAATCTGGCCATTTGTGCCACCTCTCCCCTTTTGGCCTGGACAACTGAAATCTACACGCTCTTAGGGGGATGTTTATGGATGAGTCAGCATTGGAGCTGGCGAGAGGCAGTGGGAAGGACAGTGGACCCGGGACCCAGATGAAGTTCTTGTTTTGATTCTGTCATTAAATCTCAGCGGGGACTCTGAGAAGTCACTTCACCTCTGACTATTGCCTCATCTAGGAGGTGGAAACACAGTGAGCTTAATTCTCTATCACGGGCTGTGGATACTGTTTGTGGAAGCATGAAAAATGCAAAGTGTGCCAAGTCAATATTCACGTACAAAGTTAACATCCACGGGTAACCTTTGACGTAACTCCTTTCACGTTAAATGTTATATTGCTCAAGAGTTCAAATAAGCTCAAATGAGAGGCTGATACCAGTGACCACAGCAAACACACTCAAATCTCACATCAATTACGGCAGACGATGAGATGGCAGAACGTCCAGATGCACTTCTTTCACATACAGTTTGCTTTAGCACCAAGGAATACAGAGTTCCCAAAAAGTCCCCTGCAAGCTGAATACATTTCTTGGGATCTAACATTTCAAACCAATTGGTTTAGTGTTGTTCTAGAAACACAGGGCACACCTGGAGCATGTGGACCAGCAGCTCGCACTTCCGGCACTCGTTCACTCACCCCACTGAGGGCAGTGGCTGAGTCTCTTACAGCTCCTTGCCAGAAACCTGGGTTTTCTTCTTCTTTGCAAATCATAGGGAAACCGAATGTCTGTACCTGTAACATTCACGAAGCTGAAAGCAATAAAGGAAAACTTCTTATAGCCAGCTGCTAGATGCAGCACCATGGAGGAATCGCCTTGACACCAGGTTCCCATGACAGGAGGAGAGGAGGCTGTGGTGATGGTCCCGAGGCTCCCCTGGACCACAGCTGAGCAGACCAGTTGCTTCAAAGGAAACAAGAACAAAATCTTCTGGAACAGTATGTCAGACTCCCTTTAAAATGATGCTCACACAGAGGTATACAAGTATCCCAGATATCTCTAAAAAAAATCTGAAAGCACATGGTGCCAGCTGCTGGAAACTTGGCACCAGATTAGAATGGAACAGTGTCTTTGAGATTGCAGACAATTTTAGATGTCAGCATACGGTGTTCAGGGCCCACTCCTGAGGATGCTGATAAAACTAAACCAAAATAACTACCTTGAGAGAACACGCACGTTCTTAGAGGCCATTTTATCTGGGTGAAGGGATGATTTAACTCATGAAACTCAAGAACACAAGAAAACAACAGCAACAACAATTTCCTTGAATATATTCGACTATCAAGGCATTTCCCAATACAAAAATTATAATTTTCCCAATACTACAAAGAAATCCAATAAATAACTTTACAGTGAAGGGTCCAGATGAGCACTGAATGACCGTCGGTCCCCAAGCAGCTACAATGGTGGAGGTGGCCACAGCGCCAAATTCTCCGCAAGGTCATCTGCAGTTTTGTCTTTTTCAAATGTGACTCGGTGTTTCCAAGCTGCTTTACGGAACAGTCCCATCTCGTAAAGCCTGTCAGGGAGTGAAGCCAAAGAGTAGCCCAAGAAGTGTTCAAAGCCAAGGTTTCTGCACAACACCTCTCTCTTCTTCCAAGGGACCAGCGATGGCTGAGGCCTGGCTTCAGGCTGCAAGTGATTCGGCTGCGTGAGCTCAGCAAGTCTTCTGCACCCATCACTCTGGGAAGAGCTCAGGAGGGCTCTCTCCGTAGCAATATTTTGCTATGGGATCCCTATAGGTGTTCTCGTGCTGCACGCTCTGTTGGCAAAAGGGTAGATAAGAGCTCCGTGAGAGAGCAGTCGCACACACCTCCCTTTCCAAGCTGCGAAAGTCAGAGCAGGGCTGCAGTCAGACACTCCCTGCAGGAGCCTGGCCAAATCCATCTCCAAATGTCACTAAAAGGCTCCAAGGCACTTTCTGGAACAAAGGCGAATACTCCACGCAGAATGCCAATGAAGAGCATGAAAATGGACATAACATCACTGCATGACTGTTTCTTTTTACATACACCAGTGAGTTTTTTAACAACCTTGCTGTAACCTGGGCAACTTGAGACAACTATTTTTTCTCAAATTATTTTATATTAGAGTAAGATCCAATGGGTGTTATGCACCTGACCTTGTGCTTCAGAGAAATTCAGGAGCTGGCACTGAACCCTGCAGATACGGAGAAGATATACTTCAAATCGCTTTCATAAAGTTTTATGTACCTCTAGGTTTGGCACGTGAGCCAAATCCCACAATACAGGCAAGCCTCATTTGGCTAAGCAAATGGGAAGTGTGATTTAAAACAGACAAACATCCCAATGGCTAATTTTTCAGCAATTTGTTTTCACACAGGCAACTTGAGTTTTGGCTAGTCTAGAGTTCATTAATTAGCCCAAGCCCAATATCAAACATCTACATTGAAAGTATTAATCCAATTTATAAACGTGGAGCCAAAAGCTTCTCTTTCTTGGGATACTGCTATCAAAACAAACTGGAAACTGGGAAATCTCTCTTTACCACAAAAAGACTAAGTCAGAAAGTTTAGCATCTTCACTCACAATTGGAAATAACTCCTGAGTTTTTATCAGTTAAGGAAAGAAAATATTTCGCCTTCTCTGGCGTCTCTCAGAATGAGCGAGAAATTGAATCAAAATGAGTCCTGTGTTCAGCCTTCCTCCACATTTCCTTTAAGGCCCATTCAAGTGGAAAGCTCTTCCAACAAAACAAGCCCATCAGGAATTTCTTCATGTTTTCAAATGCTCATTATAATCCCTGAAACATTTACCCAATAATGCTGAATGCTCTAAGAGCAGACCAGAGACATAAAAAGCGGCGTAAAATCAAAAGGTGGACTACAGACATCTGGCAAAGAGTACAAGAGTTCCAGAAAATGACAAATGAGTCAGTTATCTCAGGCGAAGCCAGTACAGTCTTGGAGACACCATGAATAGAAGCCAGAAGAAGTGTGCTTGTGTAATGAACACGTCTGGTGATTTTACAAAGAGCCCCCACAACGGCCCAACCACAAAAGCTGAGAGCAAGGACACAGAGTGATGGAAAGCAAGACTTTCAGCCGCTCTCAGCAGCAGGTGCGATGTTTAGTGCCCGAAGAGCAAAGCACTTAATGACAGCATGCTAATGAGTATTGAGAGCTTGACAACCTACACATTTACTCATGTATTTTTAAACACCACCTGCCCCATCCCCTCGAATCCTAAAATAAACCATAACTCTGTTCCAGAACAAATTACTACTTACTCTCAATGAGTGGCTGCTGAAAAGCCTTAGCTCTGAGAGAACTTCTCTCAGAAACTGGACTATTAGAATTCCACCCAGACTTGAGAATAATTTTAAGCTCCCACTTAAAGTATAGACGTGCCAATCAGATAGGGGAGATGCAAGTTGATTAGACCTTAATTTAATATAAATGCTTTACTTCTCTAATTTGTATAAATCTCACGTTGGCATTCTGAACACTATCATTCCACCAAACAAGCTTCATTTGAATCTCTTCTCCCTTATCACCATATCATATAATGTATCATAATCATACCTCCATTATCACATTTCCAAGTTTTCTTCTAGCCATAACTCCCACCCAGCCATCCCCCAGCTAGAAACATCAGAGCTTCTGACCTGGGATGAGGTCCTGCATTTAGCCAAACACAATTCAAAGTGATCCTCGACTGCCATGAAGAGGTTCTGGAATGCCACAGCTGCCCGGTTGAGGAAGCGCTCCAGGAGAAGTTGCTATGGAAACAAAAGTCAGTACCTGTAATAAATTCCAGACTCAGCAGCACAAGGTAACCTTGGATATTCCTCCTAAACTAAGAGACTGCCCATGGGGGGGTAGGGGTGGGGGTAAGAGAGAAGGAGGCAGCCAGCACAAATGGGCCAGAGCCCTGGTATCTTGTCCATTAGGTGCCTGATTAGCAACACAATGGCTCATTCTGCAGAAGAACCATTCAAGTAACTGGAAGCACCTCCTTCCTGGTAGACAAAGGCTACTTCAGGGCAGTAATTTCTGACAGGTACAAAGTTCCCTTCTAAGTTCTATTTTCAGAAGAATCCAATGCTCATCATAAAATAAAGGCAGAAAGACAGAGCAGATGTAGAAGACAGAGCAGCCCTCTGTACCTTGTTGGGCTGCAGGCAGCAGGACACGCAGTGCTCGTACGCGCTGCAGCAGCCATTGGACAAGCAGCCATCACAGCAGTACTGCTTGGTGCCCGGGACGTTGACGTTACAGCAGCCATTCACCAGCAAAGCCTTCCTGTCACAAACGTATCCTGCAAGTCAGAGACTACCCTGAGTATAAAACCAGCAGGCCTCCCAACTCCCTACCAGGGGTAATCTGGACGCAGCAAGGAAGGCACTGCATGCAAAGGACAGAATCTGGAGTTTGGAACATCCTCAGCACTAAAGAGGTAGGAATCAGACACTACATGATGAGGGCTTGCTTCCTACATGCAATCCTTTAAAAAAACACGAACTCCCACATGAGAAATAGGCTCCACACCCTCATCTACCTAAAATGACATGACCTGTTAGTCTGCTGTCGTGTGTTTTATTTATTCACCATGTCAAGTGACCCCTGTATTTTCCTGTTCTAATCCAAGGAAGTCATTTTTCATTTATGCCTGAAGAAAACTGCCATTTTTTTCAAACAAAAATCTGAAAATAGGAAAAATCAAGAAATTAATTCCTGAAAGTGAGACCCTTCTAGATCAAAAACAAACACCCCCCTCCATCACCCTTGCAAGCATCTTTTAAATGCTTGCCATTTATTTAGTAGTTTGGAGGATTTTAAAAATAGAAGTAGTCACACCTTACCTTTATAAATTGTTTTAGGCTGCTTTTAATTATACATGCCAAGTATTCAATTACCCCTCAGCATTAGGGAAACGGAATCCTCTAATACCCAAGAAAGAAAAATCCTAATTCCGTCTACTCCCCATAAATCCCATCGTCTCTATACACACACTCCCTCCAACCCAGCCAATCCACGTCCAACTCTGAGTCACCTTGCAAAAGTTAACTTATTGTTCAGAGCTGTTAAACAGACATTTCTCTACATCCTTCTGGGAATGGGAGGGAAAATGTGGGAATAAGTGCATGAGGGACACCACTTGGCCCCTGGGAAATTCCCAGGTGCACACACGAGCTCATAGGTGTATGCCCAGGCCCACAGGTGCAGAGCAGCTGTTCCTAGGTCATTCCATTCCAAATGCCCCAGCTTCTTAATCCTCAGAGAATGAGACCTGGTGAAGTATAAGGTTGTTTTCAGAAACTACTCTGGGAAAGAAAGTCTGTGCAAAAGCAGGAGGCACCAGTAACCCAACAATGAAGGAGATGAGAAGAGCCTCACTCACACTTAGAAAACTGGGACTCACCTGGGAACTGGTGCTTTCTGTTACCTGAACTATGCCATCCTGCCTTCTAAAGTAAGAGAGGATGATTCCTACACCATTGCAAATGTTTCTGGGATTATTCCTAACTATTCTTACTCATTTTCTTCACAGGGATTATAAATAAAAATCTGAGTAAGCCAAAATGTTTCTCAAAATTCTGCCCCAAATGATACATAGCAATCTTACCACTTCTGGGTCAGGAAGACGTAAAATCTAATGTGACCTCAACTCCCACTTGTTGAAATTATCTTTCTTCTCTTCTCTCTTTCCCACATTCTCAGTGTAAGCACCTCAGGCCTTCTTTCTCTCCCCAGTGCTAACTGCCAGCAAACTTGAAACCACAGGTCTTTCTAATTTCTGGTGAAAAAAAGCTCACCAAGTTCTCACCTTTTGCAACATAAATCTAATCATGCAAACGTCATTTCCAACAAGGAACCCTGGAAGATCACAACCACAGAGTGTGCTGCTAGTGACTGAGAAATTAACTTCTAACCTTTGAAAGTCTGAAATTCTAATTGGTTGTCTTATTTAATAACGTGTTACCCTGGCAATATTCATGGTGACACCTGCTTCCTAAAAGGCAAAAATTCCTGCAAATTTTCTTTATCAAACTGCTTCTCCCTTTCTTCCACATTCATGGAGGTAAAATATAATCTATGGCTCTTGAATTTTTAATTGATTGATTCTTGGGAACTTTTTACTTAAGTCTCAGTCTTTATCTCATTCAAATTAATCAGAGGAAAATTATTCTTTGGCTAGCTACAAAATGACAAATTGTCATTCATAATCTAGTATTAAATATTAAAGCCAAGGCATAGATGTCATGTTTTCTCACTATGAGTGTCATACAAACAAAAGAGTCTATAAGAAAAAAAGCACTGAACTCCAAGTTCAGTCCTAGTCCCAGTCCTAGTCCCATATCTGCCTGCTGACTAGCTGTGTCACCTTGTGAAAGTAACTTCCCTTTACCAAACTTTACTCTGTTAAAAAAAAAACACAGGTTATTTGCAATGTTATATGCTTTTTCTGTAAGTTCCTTAACCTCTCGGTGCCTGTCTCTTCACCTACAAAGTGACAATACCTTTATCAATATTATAGCAACACCTAGACCTCATAGGACTGTTGCAAAAATCAAAAGAGATATTTAAGGAAAGCTTCAGCCTAGTGCTCAGCACATAGCAAGAGCTCAATTAAGGCAGGCTAAGGATTAATGGGAGTCTCTCTTTGGGAAGACTGAGCCAATCTTAAAGTGGTAAGAACTTTAGCCGCTGTCTAGTCCAACTACTTCACCAGCAAAGAAATTACCTTTCTTCTTGACTAAAAGGAAGCAAGAAAAGTCTGGGAGAAAGCACCAAAACAGACAGGCTGATATTTTAACTGTAAGAGTAACACATTTTAAATGTGTTTATAATTCACTTGAGATTATCCAGTCAGTCATCAACAAATGCATTGCCTAAGTGCCAATGCTCTGTGAATATTATTCAGGTCACCAAGGAGGAGAGCTGAGCTCCTATCCTAGAGTTGACCAAGATGAGAAGAAAAGGTAGGCGAGCTGTAGAGATTGGCAGGAAGTAGTCTAGGGGCTCATGCATGATAAAATGCTAAAACTCTAAGTTATAGGCATAAGGAGCTTCAGAGTTAGAAAGATCAAACCAAGCTTCTCTGATGTTGAGGGGAACCCTGAACAATGAGTTAGGTATGCAAGACAAAGAAGATGTGAGAAATGTTGAAAATGAACAAGAAAGGAAAGGCATTCCATAAAATTCCCATCTGAAAACCCTATGAATGGTCGTACCAAGGTACTTCACTGACTGCAGGAGAAGGAAGCCAGCCTCACCTAGTTCGTCCGTGATGAGGTGCTTCCCTTGAATGGAGTTCCGGCACTGGTTGCTGGGCCGACTGCTATTGCCCAAGTTGAACTGCACTTTCCACAGAATGGGCTGATCATGGTCTTGAACCTGGAGGAGATTCCGATCTCTCACTGCCCTCTCCTCCTACAAAGAGACCATAACAAGAAGGTTAAAGTAGCATCTCTTGCATTTTCACCAATTTTTTCATAGAAACTACAGCAACAGGACAGAAATGATTTTTAAAGCTTGCACAACAGGAATCTGCACTCCCCTGGTATGAGAAAAATCTGAGCCAAAGTCATGAAATCAAATGCAGAAAAATAGAATAAAATAATAAATTAGGGCTATGCCTCACAACTGGAGTACTTACATGAATGTCCCTGGATTATGTGCACATTATAAATGTAAATAAAAGTGTTACAGCTGAGATAAAGATATGGAAAGGTATACTACAAACTATTAACATGGAAGAGATATAAGTGATTATTAACAGCTTTTGTCATCTTTGGAATATTTTTGTTTTCAAAATGATAAAAACATTATTTAAAAACATAATTATCATTAACAATAGGAGACACTAAGTAAGGGATCTATAGGAACGCTGTACTATCCTTGAAACTTTCCTGTAAATCTGTAATTATTACAAAATAAAAAAGATTTTTTAAAAAGGCACCATTAAAGACAAAAATTGACCACAATCCCATCACTTACATAAAGCGTTACCTAGTTTTGCATATTAACTTCTAGCCTTTGACCCTGGTGTTTATACTCACAAATGAGGATGCTTTGCATTCAGCGCTTCTTGACACTAATTAGATGGTAAACCATTCAAGCATCTACATTATCCTGAGAATCACATTTTTAAGGCTATATAATAATCCATCATGTTGATGTGCCATAGTTTAGTAAACACATCTTCTACAGATCAACATTTAGCCCATTCTATGTTTGTTATCATAGATAGCACTGCAATAAAAATGCAGTTTTTGTTTATTGTCTTGAATAATTTGTAGTAGTAGTTATTAGTAGTTGATGCCATACAGTGCCAAATAACTTCCCCAAAATTATATATACCATCTGTAATATTATCGGCATTTACATAAAACAGTGTTTACAATTTTACCACCACCACACCAGGACTAGATTTTGTTCTTTAAATTACTAGTGTAAAACAATCCTTCAAGGTGGCTTTCATTTTCTTTTAAAGGAAAGAACTGCACCAGCAGGAGCAGGATGGGCTATGCAAAAACAACACCTGTATTCCTTGGTGGGTGCAAGAAGAGGAGCTAAGTTCAGAAGCCTTGGGAATATGGGACAAATCACTTAGGTGCACATGCTTAACTACCTGCAAATTCATACTCCTCGGCTCTGCTGGGACCTATCAGTTAACTGCAGAATCAAGCTATGTGCAAACTAAACTGAGCATCAAATGCTACCCTAGATAAATGAACAGCCATAAAGAGTGTTAAGAGGCTGGTCAAAGTACAGTAAACTGGCTCTTACAAGGTTAAAAGTGCTCTTAACAGTACTCTCAAACTATCCTGTTATTCTTCCTGGGGGGGAAAAATATGAGTTCACGGACAAGTGCAGCCCAGAAGGACCTCTTCCACATAACGACAGTCCTGGTAAACAGGAAGGCAATTTTCCCACACTTGAAATCGCTTTCAAACATGAATATTCAAGATCTTGGCCAAAAGAATTAGATAAGGGCTATACAATCAAAAAAGATTGTAGAGATTAAGATAGTAATGGTAATGAATTAGTACAAGTTCCCAGGTGTGCAAATCTAGTCTTGCAAAGGGTATGGTGAAGGGGCACTAAGGGGGTTCCTTTACTGGAGAGGTAGTTTTAAACCTTTCCCAAAATGTTCCACCTACCTATCAGGTTGTCTCAATTTTAAGCTTTTATATAAACACACACACACACACATATATATTTTTTCCATTCAAGGTTCATTCAAAAGTATCAAGATCTTACTATATGTTAAGGAGACAGAGACAAAGGTAGCTAGGTTCTCTATTCCCAAAGAGCCTCCAGGGCAGCTGACAGAGGTAACAGAAATGAGTGCCATCAGCCACCACAGATGTCCACAGGAGCTACACTAGGGTACAAAGAAAAGAGCAGGAACAAAAGGAACAAACATACAAACACAAGAACTTTACTCATAAACTGTTCAGGAGCTACCAAACTGTTTTTATTACTAATGCATGTTACTTCACCTCTGATTTTAAAGGGGGTATATTAATAACTGTCCTCTCTATTTTTCAGGGGTTATCATAAGGGTCAAATGAGAGAAATGTTCCATGTAAGTAGTGAAGCACTTACACAGAAGGCACTGTCATTAAAAGATCTGTTTATGGTTCTCAAAAGAAAAAAGGGGGGATAAAGGCTAGAATGCATTCCAAATGTCTAATATTTGGGGAATGAACGGCTCAATGTAGCCTGATCAAGGAAGATTTTAGTTATAAAAAAGCTATACTTGAAAAGCACTTTTAAAGATGGGGACAATGCATATATGTTAAGTGAAGAAACAGTATGCCCAGTTATATTTTTAAAATATGAAAAATGAAGGAAGAGAATATGCCCAAATATCATCAGTGACTCCCTCTGGTTGGTAAGACTCCAGGTCAGTTCCCTCCTCTACCCTGTGCAGTACTTTACACACTTTCTGAAGACATGTACCTTGGTGATGAGTGGAAAAAACAGGTTAGCAACTCTCTCTTAGGATTTATTCTACTTTACTTCAGCCAGTATCTAACTTGGCACCAATTTACCTAGTTAATGATTTTAGAGCTGAAGGCGTGCATGTATTTTCAAGGAGTTATGCAAATAGCCCTGAGATATTCAGAAACTGTACCACTTGAACAAGTCTGAGACCATTTACCTACATGAAAGGACCTCTAAGGACCCTTCTGACTCCAAGGTTGGGATTTCTGTAATCTCAGCTCACACGCCCCACCCAGCATTAGGCCCACCTTGCCACTCCATCACGGCATCTTGTTTAGTTTCCTTCAAATGATACATTACTGTCTGAAATAACTTTGCTTTTCTGCCATTTCTGCCCTCCTCCCTCAAGCAGAATAGAGGCTCCTGGAGAGGAAGGCCTTATCTGCTTTGCCCGTCACTGTATCTCCATTATCTAGCAGACAGTGCCTAGCAACACAGTTGGTGTTAACTGAACATTTGTTAAATAAATGTGCCCAAGTCACCTGGCACCACTCACCATTCCCAATCCTCTCCCCCAATGGCGTCCCCGCCACTGTCACTAATTTCTCCTCTACTCCCATCTCTACAATTTAAACTATCCCCCAAAGCATTAACACAAAAAGCAAAGAAAAGAGGAATTCAAAGCAGTAGAGGATAAGCAACTATTCTCTAGGCAAAAAGCATCACCTCTGCTCCATGAGTTCATGGGCTCACTGAAGCAGAGCTCGGGACCCTAAGCTCTGAAGTTTTCCACAGCCTCTTCTCAATTAATCCTAACCCCCTCCCACCCCACTAGTTCCCCATCGCCATCTCCATTTTACTGAAGACCCTGAGGCTAGGCAAAATGAAGCAGACCTGCCCCGAGTCACCTAGCTGGGGAGCAGCAGCAGAGTGCAAAACAGGAGCAGCACACTCAAATGCGTATGGCAGAACGTCAGCCACGCTTTTGGTCCCAAGGACCTTTTATACTCCTAAAAATTACTGAGGACTTCCAATATGTGGGTGTATAGGGGTTATGGCTGTTGATATTTTTCATACTGGAAATTAAAGCAAATTCTTAAAATGTTTTCAGTACATTACTTATTTGTTTAACAATAACATATCGTTTTTTTGTGTGTGTATGAAAAAAATATTTTTCAAAACAAAAAAAGGAAATTCAGTGAGAAATGTCTTTACATTTCTGCAAATCTGTTAAGTGTCTGGCTTAGCAGAAGACAGCTGGATTCTCCTATCTCCCCCTGCATTCAATCTGCTGCAGTATGTTGTTCAGGCTGAAGCGCATGAAGAAAATCTACCTCACACAGATGTGTAGCTGGACATGGGAGGAGCATTCTAATGGCTTTTCCAGATAATTACGGACCATTCTCTTTGATGCTACATCAGAACTTGACAAGTGTAGCTTCTTAAAGGTTGACTGCAAACGGTACAACCACTTCAGCAAACAGTCTAGCAGTTCCTCAAGAAGTTAAACATAAAGTCACCATATGACCCATCAATTCCACTGCTAGGACCAAGTCCAAGAGAACTGAGAACGTACTTCCAAACAAAACTTTGTACACCAACATACACAGTAGCATTATAATAGCCAAAAGGTGGAAATAATCCAAGTGTCCATCAACTGAGGAATGGAAAAACAAAATATGGATTACTCGGACATAAAAATGAAGTAGTAACACATGCTACAACATGGATGAACCCTGAAAACATGGGCTTCTAACTGAAAGAAGCCAGACACAGAAGACTACATACTACTGTAAGATTCCATTTATGTGAAATGTCCAGAATAGGCAAATCCGTAGAGACAGAAAGTTGACTCAGTGGTTGCCAGGGGCTGACTGGCAGGCACACGAAGTTATAGCTCAAGCAGTTCTTATTCTTAGTGTTTGTTAGGCTGTGAGGGAATCAGACCCAAAACAAAAATTTTGCCAGCAATTTTATGGAAATCACAATCATCACCCTCCATCAAAAAAAACATTTTTAACCCCAATTATGGTCATAAATCACAGGTTTTAAAAAAAACAAACACGTAATTTTAAAAAACAAACAAGGTGCACTAGAACACTTAAAGGGAGGTTGTGGAGGAAACATGAAAAATTAGTACGAATGTGCCAGACTGAGAGGGAAAAATCACTCCAATTAAAAAGACTCACTTGTTTGTTCCAATGTTTGAGTGCCCGTAAAGTGCCTGGCTGAATTCTAAGGGCTGGGATTCTATGAACAACACAATTTTCTGTTCTCAAGAAAATTACTCTCTAGAAAGGCGAGGGAGAAGAGACGGCTAGACAAGTAAATGAACAAGAAGTGTTCAGTTCCCACCACAAAGAAAATAAAGCACGTCTACGGGCAAGGTGAAGAAATTTAGATTGTGTCACCCCGTGTGGCCTGAGGCAGTAACAGCCTGACCTGAAGTGACATAAGAAATCCATCAAGATCCTGGAACAGTCTGGAGTTTGTCCAGTGCAGTTAAGAACCAAAGAATGAAACACGGGGAGAGTGTCCTGACTGACTGACTTTATCATCCCTGCTGCTGGGCAGAGAGCTGACTGCAGGACAAGAGGGGAGGCATAGGCCTGGTGGTGGCTGCGGCAGTGGTCCAGATAGGAGATGACGGTAGCTTGACTTAAGGTGGCAGCAGTGACAATTAGGAGATAGGAACAAATTCAGGATACACTGTGGAGGCAGAAGATAACAGAATATGGGGTTTTCTGGGCCGGTCTAGGCTGGAGTTATGAATTGTGATCTCAAGAGCGCAGAGCTGGTACTTAAACAATGACGCCAGAGATCACCTGGGTCAGGCAAGGAGGATGGCAGAGGTCTGGGTCCCGGCTGGCTCACCACACTCACAGGTCTATCAGGCAGAGAAGGGACAACACGTGGCCATGAGAAGTTGTCTGTGAGGTGGCAGAAAACGACTCCCTTCACATGAGTGTCACCCACACATCTGAGTCAATAAAAGACGCTTACCGCAGTCAGCCTCTGTTTCCTTAAGGTGGGAGGTGGGACACTCTTCCCTCTCTCCTTTCCCCGGCTCCCCTGCCAACCCGCTAAAACGAGGGTGACCACCAAGTTTTCTTTCTTTTCTGGCCATTGATATATTTCATTTATGAACTTGCCCCTTGAAAGTGAAAAGGGGGGGGCGGGGCTTTTAATAACGACTACTCCCTGGGGGTATGTTCATCCTTCCTAAAAACCCTAACGCTCCAGCTGGACTTGGAAACAAACCTGACAGCTTTGGGTAACATCTCCTACCAAAGCGGCCTGTCTCTTCTCCTAGAAATGCTCGCAGGGAATGAAATCGAAGGCGGCGAGGAGGTGGGAAGAACATCCCACCCCAGCTGTGCACCGAAAGGGCACCTCAAGGGTCCTGCGGAGTCTCCCCGGGGGGCCGCTGAGTCCCCGGATTAAACGACGGGCAGACACGCAGCGCTGGCCTCGGAGCTCGGCCGCTCGCCGGCCCAGCCAGCTCCGCTCTCGGGGTCGCGGTCTCCCGCCTGTCACACGGGGCCACCCCCGGACCCCGCACCGAACTACCGCCCAAGATGAGGGAAGAAACGCCCGCCGGCGGGGCAGGTGGAAAGCGGGCAGGGGCACGAGGGTAACAAGCACGAGCGGAAGGGCCCGCAGCCCCGGGTTCGAGTCCCGGCCGCCGGCCTAGGCACCCACGGGGCAGCAGGTCCCCCCGCGCGGCCTCAGTCCCCGGGTTAGGAAAGCCCACCCTCCCGGAGCCGGGGAGGAAGGCGGG